TTTAATGCCATACTGTGGAACATTCCAGTCCAGTGAAAGTAATAACATCTCCATGGAGAAGAAGAAAAATGTTTGACGAATCCCTCTACCAGAAAAGTTACACAACGGGATTTTCTATATGTACAAAATTTGGATTTAAAATGAATTAAAATATGTTTTCATTTTCATAATTAAGTGCTGTGTTTTTATTTGCCATTTGTTCAAAGAGCTGTAAATAGGTCATATAGTTTAATGTAAAATGTCAGAAAAATTTGAAAAAAAAAAAGCTCATTGTGTTAGATGCGAGGACAGGGGTGTGGGATTAAATACGTTTTCTTCTTCCCACTCCTTTTTGGGCCAATTTTTTTTTATTTTTACTTATTTATTGTTGTTATTTCTGCTATGATTTCATCAATGTTATGTGCTCCATTGTAAAAAAAAAAGAAAATTTCCAACTTAACTTTCTTTACTTAAATCACAATAACAAGATTTTAGTTAAGTTACAGAAAAAAAAAGTACGATCATAATAACTAGAGGGAGTCCACAGAGTTTAGAACTATCAATAAACTCATTATTGATACTTTGCAATGACATACATCGCACTGGGGGTGATCTACATGTATGTGCATTGGTGGAATGTTCAGCAGTTACCATGGAGACACAATTCGTACACTGCCAAAAACTGTCAAGTACTAGTAAGTTTTAAGACGCAAGAAAAAATCCAAAATGGATTTAAACTGCACATTTTTCAAGAGTCTGTGATCAATGTGAGTGTTTATTTTGTTTTGGTGTTTGATTTTCAACAAAAAGGTGAGAGCGACTAACTACTGAAAAACTTGTGACTGTAATTTCATTTTGAGACTTGTTTAACAGCACGAATCAGCTCAGTTATTTACAGTCAGTTTGAGTTCATATAAAACTCAGATTAACGTGTGGCTTGAGTACCAAAGCTTCAGACAGAGCAGTGCGTTCAGTTAGAATCACACCTCCAGGGAACGTTGAAGGTATCTGCCGCAAAGTATCAAAATTTCAAGATAATGTTGAGAAAAATCTTTGTTTTTCAAGTGTGGACTTTGTATTTTCATGTTTTGCGTGAAGTAGAAATCCGAAACTCTAATCCTGATCCTTTTTAAAGATTCAAGTGAGTAAAAAAGTATGAAGTACCACTAAATGTATAAAATTTACGGAAACTAAACATGAAATTTTGTACTATTATAGTGTTTATTCATCTACTGTAATAGAAGTAATAAAATAAAACGATTTGCGATCCTGATTTAGGTTCAAATGTGTTAAGAGAAAGAACAAGAACATGACATAAGCCCATCAGGTCGAGACCCACAACAGCTGAACTTCCTGTACTCACCAGCAAACAAAATCTTCTGCTTAAAAGTTTCTGAAATGGTTCCGTTAACACAAGTTTATCTGAACACACTCGCTTCCTCTCTTTCTCTTTCTTTCTTTCGCTTTCATCCGCTCTTCTCCAGGCGTACCTCTTGTGCATTGGTTTGGTAGTTCTATTTGGTTTGTTGTACGACTAAAAATTTTGGTCTTACAATTTTGGCTTTTTGTAACAACATTCGGAAACTACTGTTGAGCTATTTGGTTCTTTTTCTTCACGTGGAAGCAACATGTTCACAGTTATTTCCAACCAGAAAAGTGAACGTTAAAAACAAACCCAGCGTGTAACCAAAGAGACGACGAGATATGAAAGTAGGCAACACTTCCGACACTTTTTCGAACCCGCAACCTCTTCACAACTTTAACCCCGCCCCCCTTTTTCCCCCGCAGCCCACCCGGATGCCCTCCCCGGCGCATAAAAAGTAGAAAGCAATGGTACCACCCCATACAGCATTAACAGACACACTATGGTAAAGCAAAAAACAAAAATATATATATATTCTTAGAGTCAGTTTCTTGAGGTTTTTCCATATTTTATCCATCCAGGAAAAAGCGCGAAACCTGCAAAGCGATACCGGAAAAGCTCGGGGGGCCACTTTGAATCTGTCAAAAAACAAAACAACAATAATAATCACAGTCAATCAGAACAGACTTCAAAATGGCCGTCTTTCTTGGTCGCTCCCGGTCGCCTGCTGCTTCGCGTGTATTTGGTATCGATCAGTCACTCACACTTAGTAGCAGTAGTAGTAGCTTTTGGTTTTTTCGTGTTTCTTTTTGGTTTGTTGAGCCTCCGCACCTCTTCCTCCTCTTCTTCTAGCGTTTTTTTTTTTTCCTTCCTTCTTCTTCTTCTTTCCCCCTGCAGCTTTGAGCACCTCCGGACGACACCTCTCGCTCTCTCCCTCTCTTCTTCGTCTTCTGGCCCTTTTGATGTAATCTTTGGAGACACGGGAGAGGGGCAGCTGAGGTGGAGGGCAGGGGTATTTGGGGTCTGTGTTATGCGTGTGTGTGGACTGAAGTCTTGGACAAAGGTCTGGACTGGTCTCGCGGGCGGACGCAGACACCGCTGCTGCTTGAGGTGGTGCTTTGGTTTTCTCAGAGTGGCTGCTGTTGTGTGATGACATGAGATGGGTCTATGGTGGTGTATAAATAAAAGAAGGCAAATAAGGCAATGAAAAATACATAGACGAGGGGTAAAACAATGGACCAAGGATCCCGGGGCCACAGAGAGTCTTTTGGGAGAGGGCAAAGGACTCCACCATGTTTGGCCTATATACGCTCAGAGGATGATTTCATGTTTTTGTCAGTTCAGGAAAATATGAAAGCGAATGGTTTAAAATTTTAACATTTCAGAATTTTTAACAACATTTTTCTACGATTAGCACTGATGGAAGAATACTGTGAAAATGTATTTAGTTACAGAATATTTGGTATATTTGGTAAGGTAGTCCGATACATCACCCAATCAGAGTACTGTATTCTGAGTACTTAAAATACTCACACCGAGTTGGATTATATTCTGGTGAGACAAATACTGCATAATATTACAAACTTCTATATTTTTGTTGCACTCTTTGTTCTGCATTTCTTTTTTTCCTCACCAATACCATGCAGTTCAAAGCCAAAATTACATGACGAAGTATTGCCATGTATTCTTCTCTATTTTAGGCAAAGGAGAAGTTCAATTTGTCAACTGGACAAAGTTTATTTGGTCCAAAATGTTTCGCCAAACCAGAACTGAAGGAGCAGCGAAACGTATTCGACCAAATAAACTTTGTCCAGTTGACAAATTGAATTTCTCCTTTGCCATGGATTCGACCTGGACGACAGAGGGATTTTTCACACATCTCTATTGTAGAAAAAAAAAAAGTAATTTGAATAGCACCAAATGAAAAAGTAACTGTACCGGAAAACAGTTTCTATAGACTGTGTATGTAAATAGACATAGTTAACTCGATAGCCACAGTGTTCCAAACAGGAAGTTTTTATGCGGCGCTTCCGGTTCCTTCTGATCCTGACTCCCATTGACTTACACTGGAATACTGTCGCCCCTCTTTCTGTAACTACTGCCATGAGCCTCATCATTTTGGTCTTAAAATGTTTGTATTAACTCGCTCTACATCAGGGATCTCCAACTTGTAGCTCGGGATCTAATAGTAGCTCTCCACCCCCTTCCAAGTAGCTCACCAAGGGATTTCTGAATTATAAGTCTTGTGCTGAATAACTAAGATCTGATGAATTAAATGCTTATTATCATTGTAAATGCACGCTTTTAATGCCTAAATTTGTGAATTAATACATGGATAATTGTTTATGCTTTATTGACATCTAACTGTCCCCATCTAAGGCTCTTATGTTTACTCAATTTCTTCCAACTTCTAAAATGAGCAACTCTCTGGCATTTTTGTTTTTTTAAGGTCGCTCACCAATGGAAAAAAGTTGGACACTGCTGCTCTACATGATTAAACAAAACCCAGTTCATAACAAAGACCCTGGCTCCAATTCACTTCTGTAAACGCTGGCATAGTGGGCTTCATTTGAGTGGAACCAAACACTATCGGTGACGTCACACGCACTTTGCCCACTTCTTTATACAGTCTATGACAGTTGCGCAAAATTAGTGCTTCAAGTCAAATTGGCTGGTTGAATAAGTTGCCAAGACTGTTTTTCTCTTTTGTATTGTATTGCGAAAAACTGTGATTTTGTACCAATAATAACTCTGTATAAAAAGGACTACTGCTCTAAATATTCAGTCTAATTACAAAAATGAATTCAAGAGTTTTTAACGTGACAAAAAAACTTTATATTACGATAAAACTTGTGCATGTAAAAGTGATGCTGTGGAGTCCATTGGTCCATTATTTTAACGCCTTCGATCCTGGTAAACAAGTAGAATATTTTAAAGCTTTGTCAAACTTTAGGCGTAGCTCTTGACTTTGGTTCACTGTTGAGGAGGTAGATGGTACCTGGGGTCTATTAAAGTTGCATTTGGCATCTTCAAAATGTTTCATACAAAATAATACAAAAATAGATGATTTGTTCAAAGTAAAAGGGATGTAAAGAGATGGTGGAGAAGTGTGAGCGCTGGATCGATCCTGGACAGATCTCGTGTAAAAGTCTTTTTCAACTAAAGCTTTTCCCTCCGTTTGTTGGTTTTGACATTTTTGGTTTCAGTTTTTGGTATTTGGAGATTTCGTTTCTTCTTGTGTGTCCCTCCTGCTTCACGCTCGGTTCACAAGTCTCTTTTTCTTTTGGCGTTTTTCACGTCTTTTCCCTGCCCTCGTATTCAAATCTCGTCAAAAGCACAGAGCGGCCTCAGCCCTCAGCGCCTCCTCTCCACTTCATTATTTGGTTTCAGTCTACCCCCCCATCGGCAGTTCTCTCTGTCCACACCATCCAGTCTCACCCGGCTGCCCCCCTCCTTCGTCTGAGTATATTTTTGGCTTCGGGAGACTCGAGAGGGGAGCAGCGCGGGCACAGACCAGCGAGAGATGGCTGAGACAGAAAGATGGCTTTGGTTGAAAGGCGAGGTTGTACATTTAAATCAATAAAGCTTAGTCGAACTCCTCCTCTTCTTCCTCCTCTTCTTCCTCCTCCCGTAACCCGCTCCGATGGGACATTTGGGGTCAGTCGGCCATAGTCCCTCCGAGCGGTGGGGGGGAGGCTTCGCTAAAGGAGCAGAAGGAGCCCGGACTGGAGCAGGGTGATTCCTCGGGGCAGGACGTGGGGCTCATGAGGTCAGACGGGCCGGGCGCAGAGGCGGAGGGCTGCGGGTACGACGCCCGGGGACCCCCTCCTCCTACTCCTCCTCCTCCTCCACCGCCTCCCGCTCCGATTCCCAATCCGCTGCTCATCGCGCTGGCACTGACCATGCCCATCGCAGAGCCAGAGCCGGGCATCATGGGCAGCAGAGAGGGGCGGTTAAGGAAGAGGGAGGGGCGCATGGAGGATGACACTGCGGTGCCACCAGGACCGCCCAGGAGCATGTGCCCGGGACCCCCCTCCAGGCTGGACAGGGGCAGCTGACCCCCGCTGGCGGCCAGAGCTGTTACAGGGAACACAGGAGTTATAAGTACAGAGAGCTGAAGGTGGTGAAGGGTGAGGATGGGGGTGAGGATTCACAAAGACACGCTCACAGCACGATGTACACAAGAAGCTGAAGTGATGGTTGGTGGACTTTTTTAATGAGTTTTTATAGGCCTATTGCAATGAATTTGGTGTGAAGTGATTAGTGCTCCGGCCAACCCTTTCCCAAGACTGCATCAAACAGCCTTGTGTTCAAGCAAATGAGGATTTCTTTGTTATGTTATGCAAAAGTCCTAAAGCCTGATTTCCACTGCACGATTTTTTCACGCTTTATAATTTTACTGAATGTCACACTAGACGACGAGAGTGAGTTTAAATTGTATGATGTGACACAGGCACAGCCATCTGTAAGTAAGAGCTTTGTGTCGCATTTTTGTATGAAAAGTGCTCTATAAATAAAGTTTGATTGATTGATTGAAAGTTTGTCTGTGCAAATATCAGGCTCCAGGATCCGTGTACCATTTGTTTCAATTAAAAACGAAAAACAATAAAATGGGAAAAAAGTTTGTTATTTTAGTTTTAGTGTCAAAAAAAAAAAAAAAAAAAAAAAACAGATTTCAAACTCTATTGCCAATATTAAATTTAAAGTTGATTTCAAATAACACCAATCAAAAAACAGTTTCGGTGGCTATTTTAATTTTGATATTTTATTCTCTCTGTTTTTTTGTTCCGAAAGTTCTCCTGCAGTGTCAACCATGGATCTATAATAAAAACTATTTTTATTATAGTTCTATGGAGTCACGTGAACAAGTTTATTGCCTCGCTGTTTCCTGTTTCTCATCATGGAGTTAGATTTTAATAGATAATAGATTTTTTTTTCTCTTATTTCTATTTGTGGTTATTATAGTTGTGATGAGCAGTGTAAAATAATAGTCTTTAGGTATCTGTTGAATATTGCATATGCAATTTATCATTTACTGTATGATAATGCAATTTATTATTTATGGAAACATCCGAAATAAACTTATCATGGAGTTCAACAACACAAAATTGCAACGATTTTTCAGGCAAGTCCTTCTAGCAGCAGAACTTCCGGGGCAAATAAACCAGAGAGAGTAAAATATCAAAACTGAAATAGGCACGACAATTATTTGATGATTACTTGAAGTAAACTTTAAATTAAATATTGGAAATAGAGATGAAATCTGTTTTTTTTTTTTTACATTAAAACGGAATAATGAAATACTGTAAACTGTTTTCCCACTTTATTGTTTTTCATTCTTAATTCAAAGAAATTCAAAAGAACAAATGATACACAGACCCTCCAGCTCCATGTGGTAATATTTCTGTAATTGTACCTTGGAACTGATTGTGCCCAACAGTTACGTAAAATACCTTATCGTTCCGTAATTGAAGCAAAGCCGTCTTTTCAATGTCACTGAAATGTGCAAGTATAAAGGAATGATATGTCTGAATGAAGCAGCTCCTCCTCCTTGTGATGAGGAAATAATATTATATTATTGCTCAAAAACTGCGCAATATGAATCCTTTAATACACTATCTGTTCATTATGAGTTTCGTCTTTCTTTGTGATTTATTAAGACTAATCAAGACATAGGTTTGGTCTTTTATTGAAGGTAAAGCAAAAAACATGACAAAAAGTGGTGTAAATCAAAACATCTTTGTGGTTTGACAACATTAACAGTCAACTCACTTTAAAACGATTCAGGAATTTATTGTAACATAGATTTTTTTGTTGTTATTACTACTATGTTACTACGACTAGAGACGTATTATGAGCTGTCAGCACTTCTCTGTCAATAAAACCTTTTGATGCTTTCAGCGCAAAAAAACATGAGCCCCAAAGGGAATCAAAATAAACCCTTTTCACATCAAAACTTGGCCTCACACTGTTATAAGCCGCTGCTAGTACCACACTGGATAATATGGCCATGTCCCGAGGAGGCAGACATCGCAGAGGAACGGAGGAGGGGCACGTGTATAGGAAGATCCCATACAAACCAATTCAAAGCTTAGCCTGAAAAAAACATATTTGTGATGGTTAATTGATTCGACGACGGGTTTCCGCTTTGAAAAGGAGAATTTTCTGAACTCGAAACTAGTTATTTAGCCGTCAGCTCTTCTTGATATGACGGGGGATTGAGTGTCTTGGTGTGTTTACTATAATCGGACTTGGAGCTCCTAAGCTTTGCCATAAGGGTCTGTTGTCAGCTTGTGATAATAGCGAAGCATTGTATGAGAATAAAATTGAATCTTTCAGCAAAATAAGCGATTCAAAAGTTTGCGGTGAAGAGGAGGAGGAGGAGGGAGGAAGGCGGCGGCGGGCTTTGCTGTTGGCTACTGGAGCTTTGCAAAGAAGGCATTCAATTTTGCACAGAATGGATGAGATGGGTTGAATGGTGGATGGGCTTTTGATAAATGGATATTGTTGTGGAGACCAGGTGGGCCCGAGGGGGAGCACGGGCGCCCCCTTCTGTTGCAGTCATGCACGTACACACACACACCTTGCATGGTGGCCAGGGGGTTACTGCCAATGAGGGCCTGGTTCATCCCTGTGCTTACTCCCATCATAGTGTTCCTAAAGTGTGGATGTGCCCATATTCACACAAAGAACACACATGCACACACACGAAGGAACGAAACACACACACAGTCAAACCAAAACGCACGCACACATGTAGGGACACGAGGCAGGAAGGTTAGGGAAGTATTTACAGGGAACGGAAGTGGTCTATTTACTGAATATTAACTAAATACGGTAACACTTTATAATAACTACACCTTATTTAGCCTTAATAAAGCATGAACCAAGACTTAATTAATAATGATTCACGCTTAGTAACTACGTAATTACTACCTGAATTAGCACTTAACTTGCACTTAATTCACCTGTGCTGTAAATAGTTACTCATAAGTATTTCTTACTTAATTACTCATGAACTAACCATTTGTGTGTGCATTTGTAAATGTTTATTTAAGTACAAATTTGCGCATTTATTAATGATTAGTAAGCCATGAGAGAATGATTTACTAGTGATGCATTATTGTTTCTCTGGAATTTGACCAACCTTAACAAATGCTTCATAAAGCAGAATTAGTCTTCACTTTAGAAAAGCTCTCAAAAAGACTTAACTAACAGATAACAGCTGCCTGAATTATCATTGCATTATATTATTAGTAAATCATTCTCTCATAGCTTATTAATGATTAATAAATGCTCAAATGTGTACTTAAATATGCATTTGTAAACATGCATATGGTTAGTTCATGAGTAATTAAGAAGTATTGAGTAACTATTTACAGCACAGGTGAATTAAGTGCAAGTTAAGTGCTAATTCAGGTAGTAATTAAGTAGTTACTAAGCATGAATCATTATTAATTAAGTCTTTGTTCATGCTTTATTAAGGCTAAATAAGGTGTAGTTATTATAAAGTGTTACCCTAAATACTAATGGTTTTTGACACACTTTTCTAATATGTACACTACCTGTAAAAAGTTTGGACACACCTTCTTTCCACATTTGATAAATACAGAAGACATCAAATAATATATGAAGCAATATATGGAATTATGTAGTAAAAAAAATAAATTCTTAATTAGGGATGTAACAATAACCAAAATATTGTGATATTGTATCGTTGAAAGTCTCACAATAACATCATGGACCGTCACAATATATCGAATTATACCGTATTCTCTGTACTATTAGGCGCACTGGATTATAAGACGCACTGTCATAGAATGGTCTATTTTCAAACTTTTTTCACAAATAAACCGCACCTGACTTTAAACGAAACACAACAGTTGGATGGGTCAGTTGGACTTTGTGGCGTTCACAGTGACTCTGGGCTTTGTTCAGTTGTGGCGTGTAGGGAGGGTGCTGTCTGGGACCGCTGGATTGTCGGCGTGTTCGCAGTGACTCAGTTGTTCAGTTGTGTCTAGAAGTGGCACATTGCGCTCGTTTTTTCGGTTCATTCCTTCGTTCCGTTCTTCATCTGTGTGGAGTGATGAATGTGTCTGTGGGTGTTTTTCTCTGTGCGGTCGCTGTCTGGTCCATGTGTGTTTGTGTGTTCTGCGGGTGGTGCGGCTTTGTAGTTTACTGAAGTCGTGCTGGGACACCCGAGTGGATTCATGTTCGTGTATGGGGCACGCAGTCATTTTTTTGATGGGGTTGGAGGCTTAAGAGCGCGCCTAATAGTGCGGAAAATACGATAAGTCTCTTTGCTTAAATTAAGGCTTACGGTGCAACAACAGCTAAAAAAATCAGAGGGAACTACAGAGACCATGATCCTTTGCTCCATTTCAGCACAGACTACGTGAAGAAATAACAATTCTAAGCACTTTTAAATCTTAGTACTTTGGGTTAAGTCTTGTCAAGGCGTTTTAAAGGGAAAAAGTAGCAGTAGTTTTGTAAGCCTCTACAAAATATCGCAATAATTATCGTACCGTGAAAATATTGTACTGAGAGATTTCGATATTGTTACATCCCTATTCTTAATATTTGTTACATTTTTAATTCAAATCCTCAAAGTTTCCACCCTTTACTTTGTGGAAAGCGTTGCAAACCCTTGGCCTTCTCTCAATAAACTTCTTGATCAAGTCCCGGAAATGGATTTCACTTCACGTGTGCCAAGAAACGGTAAAGAAAAGTCCAAAGCGCAAAGCAGTGATTGAAGTTGATTAATTAAATGCCTAATACCACTGTGCATGTGTCATTTTGATGCCTAACTTTGTGCACTAATAAATAGATAATGGTTTGTTTTATAGGCATCTAACTGTACCTCATCTAAATCTTGCCTTGTCTCTTACATTTACTCAATTTCTTGTGACCGGTAAAACCAGTAGCTCTCTGGCATTTTTGTTTTGTAAAAGTAGGAGGAAAAAGGCTGGAGAATCCTGATCTACAATGTACATAATGATGAAAATATTGAACAAACAAATGAAAAAGTGTGTCCAAACTTTTGACTGGTAGAATACAGTGACTATATACTCTACATAATTCCAGAATATTTATAAACTTTTCTGTAAATCTGCATAGTTTTTCAATCAATTTGATAAGTTTAACTATTTTAACCTCAAGTAAACCAGTGCTTCAGATATTGTTTTGAACTAACATTGCCCAGACTATTGTGTGATTTCGGTCTATACAAAAATATAGAGAAAAATCCCGCTAATATTTTTCACAATTTGCAATTAAGACAGTGTGAGGGATTTTTCTCTATGTTCTTGGGCTGCTCCATCTCCTCCAACGCACCCATTTCAAAAAATTGATGTGCGAAATTCTCATTCATTTATATCGTGGGCTATATAAAAATAAAATAAGAATTTGAAATGCCTTTAGCACTGATAAATGACCTATTAAAATTCTTTCTATAAAGTCTGATCTTCAAATTTCAACTATGATATAAGAAGTATTAGAGTCTTAAAGTAATAAGTTGATGTAAGAGACTGACCCGGAGCTGAGCCCGTGCGCGCTGAGGCCGGTGGGGCTGGCTGTGCTGTGAGGGGGCGGAGTCACAGAGGAGGAGGCGGGGCCTGCAGGAGTCATGGGGCAGGACGCAGAGGGCGAGGAGCTGGAGGCTGAGACGAGAAGGCAACATTTAGACAATACACAATAAACTGTTTAATAAATAGAGGAGGTACAGTTTATACAGGGGCAGATGCAGGGCAAAGCTCGAGAAAAAACAGATCTGACACTGGAATAAACACTGATATAAACATTTCTAAATGAGAAATGACACAAAGGAGACAAAAATAAGGTGAGTAAAAGTAAGTTTGACCTGCAGAAGATTGATGTTTAGGGCTTGGGGAAAATTTGGGGAACAGTTTTAAAGCATAACCATGTAACTTTCTGGAGTTTCTGAGTGAAAACCATACTTGAACTAATTAATTTTATGCCATACTGTGGAATATTACAGCCTAAGGAACATAATTTCTATGAAAAACAAGGCTATCCTCCTGACTAAATATGAATCAGGTTTGTGGAGATGCAAACCCACTGAAAGTAAGGATGTATATGGGCCCGGTCAAGCAGAGGTAAACAGCAAGGCCAAAAATTCAACTTAATGCATCTGATATAAAAATGTATTGAACAGATACATATGTACTCTAGTTTATGAAACTGTTTACCTTTTTTCTGTACCATTTTTGGTTATAAAGTTACATACGTTTTAAACAGACCATGTATGAAACATGGAACAAAAATTATTTCCCAAATTTCAAAGACCTGCAAATCATGTAAATAAATTGACGTATTTCATCATATCTTGTGTTATTCGATCTTTGAACTGTTGATGAAGGTACATGATTTTTCAAAAAAAATGTATTTAAAATGATAAAAAATTTGCTTGGAAGGACTGACATATTTTATAGAAATAGTTTCCTTTCATTTTGAAGTAACATTAAAGTATTCGGAAGAAAAAAGCGACAAATTATGCAAAATCCTGCACCTTCTACTTGTTTGTACAATTTTCCCTCCGTTACTTTTCCCTTCGTTACCATGACCTTTCTTAATAAAAAATCTCATTACTCAAAAAGTAAGAGGATTTTCAACCTAATCTTGTACCATATGGTAGAAAACTATATGAAGCAAATATTCAAACCAGTTTGTTAAGGATATGTAAGTGAGAACCGATAGTTATCACTGTTTGTATTTATTGCCCAAAAAGTGCTGCATATTTCATTCCCTCCATTACCAACATGAGTTTTTAAATTTTTTGTCAACAACTTGAATATCGCAGGTTTAAATTTACCCTGTTGGAGTGTTAACTCTTTCCTACATTCTGATACCTTATTTATTTCAATAGTCCCTCTAGTTTCTGAATAAGAGCTATTTGAATGTAAAAAATCTGCCCGTTTCCCTCCGTTAAAACTTGACCGGACCCATATTTTTATGTTTTTCAGTGCAATAGAAACCTAAAACCTTTTATTTTAATTGATACTTTGGCTGAAAAGTTACATGAAGGGGATTTAAATTTAAATATCATACACTATACATTTCTATTATACATAACATTTAATCCACTTTTAACTTTCTTAATCAAAAATGTACTTCCAGCAATAAAAAATATAAATTGGAGATTGCTTTACCAAATAAAAGTATAAAGTCTCGTCTTTTGGCCTGTTCTTTTCATTAACACAGTGGATCTGGACTGGACTGAGCAGACTTTAAGTGTCAGAGCGTCGCCTCGGACTCAATCAGCCGATACATTTCCAGGTGTTTGTTACCTGTCATCTCATCTGTCACGTCTGCGGAGCGGCGGATCACGGCTCTATAAATCACAACATCCTGTCGCCACGGTAAACAACTCAAGATGGGACCTGAGCCTCCATTTTGGTGTCAACAGTGCGTCATTGTTTTTCTGTTTTTCCTCAAAGATTTTTTTTTTCTGTCTCTCTCCTTTTCTCCCTCCCCCCAACTCTCTCTCTCTCTCTCCATCCCTTGCTCCCCAATTCTCTCTCTCTTTCCTTCCCTAATGCCCCAACACTCTCTCTCTCCCTCCCCAACTTTCTCTCTCCGTCCTTCGATCCTTAATTCTCTCTCCTTCCCTTCCTAACACACACACTCTCCCTCCCTAGCACTCTCTCTCTTTCTCTCCCTCCCCAACTCTCTATACCTCCCTCCATCTCACGCTCCCTAACTCTCTCTCTCCCTCACTTTCTAACTCTCTCTCTCTCTCCCTCCCCCCTAGCTTTCTCTCTGTCTCTTTCCCTCCCCAATTCTCTCTCCCTCCCTAAACCCTCCAACTTTGTCTTTCTCTCTCTCCCTAACTCTCTCTCTTTCCCTCCCTCCCCAACTCTTTCTCTTTTCTTCATCCCTAACTCTCTCTCCCTTCCTTCCTTCCTAACACACACTCTCTCTCCCTCCCTAGCTCTCTTTTTTCCTCCCTCTCCCAAATCGCTCTTCCTCCCTCCCCAACTCTCTCTCTCCATCTCTTGCTCCCTAACTCCGTCTCTCTCCCTTCCTAACGCTCTCTCTTTCACTCCATCCCTCCCTCCCTAACTCTCTATACCTCCCTCCCCAAAAGTCTCTCTCTATACATCCTTCTCTCCTTCCTCCCTATATAACTCTCTCTCTCCCTCCCTAAACATCAACACTCTCTCTCTCCCTCCCCAACTCTCTCACCATCCGCTGCTCCCTAACTCTCTCTCTCTCCCTCCCTCCCTAATACACACTCTCTCTCTACCTCCCTCTTTCCCTCCGTAAACCTCCCCAACACTCACTCTCTCTCTCCCTCCCCAACTCTCTCTCTCCCCATTCCTCTCTAACTCACTTCCTCCCTCCTTCCCAAACTCTCTCTACCTCCCCAACCCTTACTCCCTCCTCCCATACACTCATTCTTTCCCTCCGTCTCTAGCTCTCTCCTTAACTCTCTCTCTCTTTCCACCAAATCACAGTTTCCAGGTCGGTTCATCAAAAGTGAAAGGCCTGAGACATTTTCGACAATATCAACTTTCGCCAAATAATGTCAGGGCAGGTTTAATCTTCCAGTATCTGACCTCTGGATCCAGAAACTCAAACTCAAACTCTCACCTTTAATAATTTATTGACAGCACAGAGGGCCCAGGCACACAGTAATTATAACTCACCTGTTGTGCTGAGGCTGGTGGCGACCTGGGACAGACCCGGACTCGAAATCTGGAAAAGACGGACACGGAAAGAGACAAAAGACGTCAACAACAGAACTGTAAAACATGTCAGGGCAGCAGACACAAACAATTGAGATATTATAAGAAATAGGCAACTGAAAGGTGCACTGTGTAACTTGGTCTGGTCTGGTCTCCATGAAGATAGAAAGGTTTAATGTCATATTGTGAAACATTCCAGACAAAAAACAATAACAACTCCATGGAGAAAAGCATTTAACGGACCTCCACCATAAAAGTAACAGAGTGCACCTTTAAAATAAATCTACTTAGATGTAAGATTTTGTCCAGTGCTCAGCCAACAAGCTCTCCCATGCTACCACACAACAAATCTCCAAAAATACCGTATTTTTCAAACTATAAGGTGCACTTAAACTCCTTCAATTTTCTCAGAAATCAACAGTGCGCCTTATGTATTAATTCTGGTTGTGCTTACTGACCTCCAATCGATTTTATGTGGTACACAGCACTCAAAAATCTGTCAAATGTGTTAGTACAACTTTGGTAAACTACAAAGCCACAACGGTTGATGGAGTGTCGGAGCGTTATGGCTACCGTCGTCAGAGTCGTGTTTTTTAGTCCGACAGAAGCTGACCACATCAGTGCACAAGGAGCGAGCTGTTTTTTTTCAGCGATTATAGTTAGTTAACCATGTGTTTTTAAGTTTTGTTTCTGTAAAATGTAAAAAAAATGTGTGCAAAGCTGCATCAAACACATTATTACACAATGTATATTTGAGTTCTCCTCGTAGGAAATAAAAATCTAAACTTAACAGCAAGCACCGGGAGAAATACGCCACGATCTGCCGACGGATCGTGGACGCCTGAACTAAGGGATCAAGCTCAAGTGTCGTCCGTTTGTTTTGCTTAATGTGCCTTATAATCCGGTGCGCCTTATGTATGAAAATAAACGAGAGAATTCAACATCATTGATACTGCCCCTTACAGTCCGAAAAATATGGTATACAAAAACATGATACAAAACTGTACAACAACTTGGTAAAAACCATGTGATTACTGGGATGCATGCTGATATGTGTTGTGATAGCGCTCTGAAGGGGGAGTGACTTAGCAGCGAGGATTTGAGTTGGTCAGTGTCCGTACCATGTGTGGGCTGTAGCCGGGGCCCTTGTGCGTCAGCCCGGGGGAGCTCTGGGGCAGAGGGGGGGTGGTGCTGGTGGAGGGGTTGATGCGTTTCTCTTTCTGTCGTCTGTTACAAAACCACACGCGGATCACCTCCTTCTCCATGTTCAGCTGCTCGGCCATCATCAGGATCTCCTCAGAGGTAGGCTTCTGGTTCTAAACGGGAAATAAGACAGATTTAGAAAAGGACTGATGCAAAAATATATGTACAATTAGTTTATATTGAAAGCTAAGACATAATTCTGCTGACTTTTAGGGTTAAATGTTTGTTTGTTGCAAGGATATAATGATTCTAGATATGGCAAAATGTTATATTAACTCGGAACAGCTTGAAACCAAAAAGGTAAGACAGCAAGTGTCACTAGAATTATCCAGTGGGAGTCTTGACAAACAGACTTTTCCTGGAGTGACATGTCGTCTCAACCACAGCTGCCAATTTGTAGCACAAAAAAATCTTCTAACATTCAGAACAAAATATATAACTTATTTTGGTAACACTTTAGTTTAGGGACCACATATTAATAGTTAACTAAGTGGTAATTGGTAATAGTTGGTATTAATCAAACACTTATTAATGCTTATTAACACAAAAATATCTATTGTAATCTCCACTACTTTAATGGGAAGAAAATAGTTGATGGTTAATACTCGCAAAATACGGCCTTAGACAAAAATAAATACTAACAAAGATGTAATTAAGCACTTATTATGCATTTTACTATTACCTATTATCTACTATCTATAAATATGTGGTCCCTAAACTAAAGTGTTACCCTTATTTTACATGAGATAAGTAATAGTTTAGTGCTTCGATTGTTGATTCTGACAAAATTCACGCTGTTTTTCAGTCTTTTATGTTGTTTTTTTCCAGCCGTTTTACATTTTACAAGTAGTTATTGTTTTGTTTTTGACACGAACTGAGCATGCGTCTCTCTAATTGGTTAATCCGCCTGTCAATCACGCCCTTTGAAATCAGGTTCCTGTGTGGTTCTGACTGGACAGGTAAGATATTTCCCAGCGGTCTCCCATCTAAGTACTAACCAGCCCCAAGGACAAGATCAGGCTTTGACCAGGAGGTTTGTTCTGGTGAGATTTAACAGGAATTAACCACACTTTCATAATATTTAAAATAAGATCCAACTGCAGATGAAAAAGAGAAAAATAATAAACTCAAATTTTTAAAACTTACCGTGCTGAAGTTGCGTTCCAGGACGACTCTGACGTTGGTCTCGATGCTGGTGCGTTTTTTCCGGCGTCGCCCCGGGAGACCCTCCATGCCCAAAAGAGGAGAGGAGAGAGAGGAGGGGCTGGGCAGCATGCTGTCCACTGCCATGGTTTCTATTACACACAGCAGGCATTTATCATTATCTCATTATTTATTTATTTTATAGGGACAGAGCATATTAAGGAACATCTATTATTCCATAAACAAGAGATTTTCTTAAGTCTGAAAGCTCCTTCTCTCACCTGCGTCGCTGAGCCACTTCTCCAGCAGAGGCTTGAGTTTGCACATGTTCTTAAAGCTCAGATTCAGGGCTTCAAACCGAGAGATGGTGGTCTGGCTGAAGTCGTTGCCGTACAGTTTGCCCATAGCCACGCCCACATCGCCCTGCAGACAGGAAGAAAAAGAATACTATTACACAAATCTGCAAAAGGAATCGAGCATTAACATTTTTCTCAGCATAGTAAGTAGTGATCAAAAAGCAGGTTAAATGTATCTGTAAAATAAAGTGGACACAGATCTTTCAAATAATAAATTTAGTATATGGTTGTGCACTAACATTGCGTCATCCATATGTCTGTGTATGAATGAACCAGTTGTCAGCTACTCTTATGTCAGAGTGTTTGAAGTGAAATGGACAATTCAAAACAAAATATTATATCTTGTGAATGGTGAAAGTACACAGCCATGAAAAGAAGAAGGTTCCGATCACTCAATGCAACTGAGAATGGAACAATACAAAGCAATTTTGGGTGCAAAGTAAGACTGCTATCTTAAATTTTAACTAAGTCTGGGTGATATGACAAAAAAAACAACACATCTTTTTCATCACAATGTTTATTAATTTGACTTGTCTTATTAAAATATCCTGAACATAAACACAGGCTTTTAAAAACTGTCACTTAACACAAAAAGTAGTAGTAGTGATTTCTCCCGTATTTACCTGTGTGAACCCCAGTTTGATGCGTCGCTGTTTGAAGGTGCGGGCAAACTGCTCGAGCTCCTCCAGGTCGCTGGGCTCCTCGCTCATGTGTGCCCCGGCGCCGAGGCCCGAGGGCAGGGAGGAGGAGGGCAGGGAGGTGGGGGGCATGGAGGAGGTGGAGCCTGGGGAGGGTCCGGAGGAGACCACCCCCACGGTGCTACTACTGGGACCCACCATGGAGCTGCTGCTGCCGCTGGGGACGATCACATCACTGCTCTTCTCCCGCTGAGAGAGAGAATGACAAATGAACAGTGAGTAAAACAAAGGACTGGACTGGGTACTGTAGCTATGGACCAGTAGGTACTAGGGCAAATTTACTTCCCTAATTATTGACCAATTACAAATATTTGTTTATTTATTTAATTCCTTAAGTATAAAAAGACATTAACTGTGTCACAACATCAAAGAAATGAATGAAAAGGAGCAGAAAGAAGAGTAATCTTATGTTATCTGCCACCTTTTCCCTTTTCCAGACAAAACATCAACACCGATAGTCACTTTAAAATTTCAGTTCAGGCACAATCAATCGCACTAGTTGCAAACAGAAATCTTCACTATTATGCACAATTTAGTTTCCTTTTTTGTACATACACATTGCAGTGGATTTTAAATTTTTAAATATTCTGAAGATATACTAGTACAATACCAACTTTCAATAATTGCCACAAGTAGTGATGATAATATCTTCCAAGTCTGAACGACAATTAGATTGAGAATTAGAAGTCACAATGGCAAGTTATAAATCAGATCTGGGATCAGGGATTCTCTGGGATTCTCCAGAATAAAACACATGTGACTGAATAAAAGCGAGAAAGAAAATTTGAATGTTGTGCTGTGAAAAATTACGGAGAGCATCGTAGTTCATATATACCCAAGTCATAGTTCAGTAGAGACTGATCAATATGAGCAATTTACGGTCAAAGCCAATACCAATAGTTTAGAATTCAAAGCTACCGATGGCCGATGAGCTCTGCCGATATTTTTGGGCTGATGTGTAGGGACGATTTTTATTATTTTCCTCAAATTATGTAATTTAAATGGACAAAAAACTCACCCATAGCTAGGGATGTAACAATAACCGAAATATCGTGATATTGTATCATCAAAGTTCTAGTTTTTTTAGTTTTATTTATTTAAAAGGGACAATGCATATTCATGAACATATACTTGTAAATATGCCAGAATTAACCCGAAGGCGACTTTTCATCTGTAGTCCCTGGCAGGTCAGAGAGATAGACACATAAGACATAAAACATAAGAACATAAAACACGTCACAATAGACAAACACACAAGCATGACACTGACATTTACATAGGAGCATAACATTAGTGGTTACAGATCTGGTTTCTCTTAAGACATCGTTTCAGATTAGTTTTAAATGAACTGAAAGTGGTGGAGTCTCTTATAGCAGCTGGGATGTTGTTCCAGATTTCTGTGCCCTTGACTGATAACACCTGTTGACTGAAAGTCTCTCAAAAAATATCATGGACCCTCACAATATATCGACTTACAAGCCTCTATGCTTATGGTGTGGTAATAGTTAAAGAAAGACAGAGGGAACTACATAGACCATGATCCTTTGCTCCACTTCAGTGTAGACTACATGAAGAAATAACAGTTCTAAGCACTTTTAAGTCTTCGTTCTTTGGATTAAGTCTTGTCAAGGCACAAAATATCGCAATAAATATCGTACCGTGAGATGTATATCATGAATTATATTGTACTGGGAGATTTGGATATTGTTACACCTCTAATCATGAGGCTCCCCACGATATCGCAATAAATATCGTACCGTGAGATTCATACTGTGACAATATCGCATCGTGAGACTTGGATATATCGTTACACCTCTACACATAGCACTTTTTTTTTTTAAGACCTTTTCTAAGACCTTGTTTAGTCCTGACGGAAAGCCAAATATTACCTTCCTATAGATACACTTGGCTTGAATCGCTCAAATCAACCATAACATTATATGCACGCGGCCTAAACAAGCCCAATATGTCCACTCATTTATATTTTAGCTCATTCTTCAGCATTACTGGTAGCTGGTAAGTAGACTAACATGCTAAACATACTGCCTTGTATTTGCCATAGATGCGAGACCAAATGAAATCAGTTTTATTCACTTCACAAGTTTCTGTTCACAATGTTACGCTTCATACTGTATATATATATTGTGTATATGGGAACGCAGTATTATCCAAAACAGGTGATTTCCATATAGACACACATGCATCTTCTTGGATCTAACACAGGCTATGAATCTTAATAATTCATTTTTCACCAAAGCAAAACAAAGTAACCCATGGCGTGAATGCACCATCACATGTCTGAGACCATTATAGATTTTTTTATTACCAAGAGATGAAGTCATGTCAAACGCAAAGGCTCCCTCTGCCCCCTCTGCATGTACGTTACTTATGCAGGGACCGCACATGTAAATACGCCTCGAAGACACTCTATTGTGCATAATATTGGTTCAATTAGTTGCCCGTCCCAGAGCGGAAAAGGGTTAAGTGTGTGTTTCGATATGCAACACAAAGCAGGCTGCTCTACATGACTTCTCCAGGCTCCCATGGTTTAACACCGGGCCTAATGTTTAATGCATAGGGTTAGTTTCACATCTTTGCTTTTCATACTAAACAATGTATGCAGAGTTGGACATTGTTCTTATTCAAAGCCAAGCGTAGCTCAAGATTGTGGGAGCATCGAAAGTGCAAGTCGTGTACTTTTGCTTAAAGGGCCCATATTACGCTATTTTCTGATCTGTGTTCTGCTGTAACGTTGTTTCCTCATCATAAACATAACCTGGAGTTGTGTTTTGTTTCATTCACGCACGTTTAACAGACAAATCCTGCATATTTAGGAGTTAATATGATGATTTTAGCTCTGGAATTGTCAAACTCTTCTAAACAAAAGATGAAAGGTAGCTGTTATTGTGAAGATGTGGACAGACTAATAATAAAATCACTAAAATGTGTGAATGAAACAAAACACAACTTGATGTGTGTTTTTGATAAGGTAACAACATGACTTAAAGCTCAAGTTTTCTGTAATATAAGACCTTTAATTATATACTGATTAAATATGAACGCTAATTAATGCCAAAAGTGGAATTTCCCATTATTACTATGCATATATATTTTTAACAAAAAGATTTTTTAATCAATATTAGGGATGTAACAATAACCGAAATATCGCATGATATTGTATCGTCAAAAGTCTCACAATGATATCGTGGAGCCTCACTATATAAATTGATTTACAAGTTCCTTTGCTTAAATGCATTTTTTAATAGTAGAAATAGCTAATAAACTTCAAGAACTACATATCCCATGATTCATTTCAGCGCAAACAACATGAAGAAATATGTTTTTTACTTGAATTCTTGGGATTATGACAGTAATAATTCACACCAAAATCTTGTCAAGGTATTCTAAAAGCAAAAAAGTCTCCTATCTACAATTATATCAGCCTATCCAAAATATCGCAATAAATATCATACCGTGAGATACATATCGTGAGAGATTTGGATATCGTTACATCCCTAACCAATATGCATTATTTATTTTCCCTAATATTGTTTGAGCACAATTTTAAATACATTTTTTTCTCATTCATATCTAATAAAAGTGTCTTCCAATATTATTTTTATATATAACAAAAACAGGACAAACTTTTAATAATAATAATAATAATTGCCTCCTTTTACTGACAGAGGACTGGCTATAGACTTCTCCATTATCCATTAAAAAGACCCAAACCGATCAATGACTATTAGACATGACTGAATCTCAATCTGGATTAACATTCAATGACTTGCACAACCCAGCAGTAGTAAGTATAGCTCCTGACCTGTGGCGGTAGTCCGAGGCGTGGGGGGGTGGTGAGCAGGGCGCCCGGGCTCTGCTGAGGTAGCTGGATCAGGTTTGGGGAGGAGAGCAGAGACTGTTGGGTCTGCTGGGGCTGTGGAGGCTGAGAGAGGAGGAACTGAGCCGTGGACTGAAGAGGGTGTCCAGGCATCAACACCAACTGCTGCAACTGCAACAACTGCTGGATGTCCTGAAAACACAAAAATCCATCAATTCAGTCACACTTTATAAAGGATGTAGGCTTAACTTCATAATGGACAAATAAGTTTATGGTTTATTATGGTAGATCTTGAGCTAGGCTTGGTCTTGTTCTGTTTTGTGTTACCTGTGCTGTGAGCTGGATCGGCTGAGACAGGGCGAGCTGAGGAGGAGGCGGGGCTTGGAGCGGCTCTTGTTTGATGCTCTGCTGCTGTTGCTGCTGCTGCTGTGAGGCCTGAGCCTGGGCTTGGGCCTGAGCCTGAGCTTGGGCCTGGGCCTGTGCCTGGGCGTGTGCAGCCTGAGCCTGAGCCTGGGCCTGGGCGTGAGCTGCGTGGGCGGCGTTGGACTGTTGGACAGCGGCGGCGAGGAGCTGAGCCTGGGCCTGCTGCAGGAGGAGCTGCTGCTGAGCCGGGAGCAGAGCCGCCAGCTGAAGAGAGAAGAAACATCCATATGAGCTGATAATTTCTTCACATTGTATCTCTGCAGTATTAAACAGTTACTAAAGTCACTATAGTTCTATGAGAGCCCTAGATGGCAACTTCACAACTGTTCTAGTTTTGTTTTTTAGTGATTTTACCACAATTCTGCCTAGAAACTGCAACAAACTTACACTTTGACTTTTGACTATGACAACAAAAGATATTGCAAACGTTTAAGGCTGAGAAGGTTATAAGCATGGATTTATGGTTATAACTGTGACTGTGAAGTATATGAGTATATTGTGCTTAATAAGTAAAATCTGATGAATTACCATTGTAAATGTGTAATTTTACTGTGCACTAATAAATGGATAATGATTTATGTTTAATAGGTATCTAACTGTACCTCATTTAACGCTTGCCATAGCTCTTCTACTTTCTCAATTACTGGCAACCATTAAAAAGAGTAGCTCCCTGGCATTTTTGTTTTATAAAGGTAGGTCACCAGAGGAAAAAGGTTGGAGACCCCTGTTGTAGTAATAATCTATCGTAACATGGCGTACATTATTTACATATTTGATACAATTTGTGGTTAAACATCTACATTTGACTAGAAATAGAAGTGGTTTCATATTCATTTAGAGTATTGACGTCATACACGAAGGGGGGCAAGAGAGAGATTTCACAACTGTTGGTGTAACTGCTCAAACTGATCATGAAAAAATGGCGGGACTTTCAGCAGCCCCCTCTAGTGGCCAGTAAAGGATGTGACGTATGTGAGTGTGACGAACCCCAGCCAGTTGACTTCCGGCGAGCATGAGCTGTGTGGTGTGGTGGTGCTGGGCGGTCTGCTGCTGCTGGGGCGGGGGCTGAGGGGGAGGCGGGGCCGGGGCCACTGTGCTTCGCGGCTCTGAGCTTTCGTCGGCACGTATCTGCAAAAGAAAATTTTACATCGGTATAGATCATAAACAATGAGAGTTCAACTGTGGAAAATGTTAAATACTGGAGATAAAAATTATTATCTTAAAGGTGAAATGTGTAACGTTTCTGGTAACCTGCTTGGAGATGGAGATTATCGTATTTTTCGGATGATAAGTCGCACTTTTTTCATGGTTTAGGTGATCCTGAGACTTATACTCTGGTGCGATTTATATATTAAAATGTTCACACTGACAGCTGCGAGAAGCTCTAGTCCTGTATGTCAGTATCTGCTGCTGCTATTACTCCTGTAACACTGTCACTTCACTTTACTGTGCATGTCTCCTGCAGAAAAAGCTGTTGTCCTGCTGCAAGTAGTGAAATAATCTGTCAAAAACAGTAATCAAGCAGCAGGAAGAAAGTTTGGAGTGAACGAGAAACTTGTGAGGGACTGGTGGAAAGTGGGGATGGAGAACACAGCTTCATGGCAACCGGGAGGGTGTGCCATGTAACTTTTCTAGAGGTCATTGGATGGATGGACAAAGCCTGGACTTCAGTGACAAGTGAAGCCATCCTGTCGGGATTCAGAAAGGCCAGAATAATTCTAACTGGAACTGATGTTGAGTCTGATGACAGCTACACAGAAGAGGAAGTGGCGCTCTGTTTACCTCCAGAGGTCAAAGAGTTGCTCAGAAGTGACACCGAGGATGAAGAATTCAAAGGATTTAGTGATTTGGACGGAGATGGAGAGTTTAATAAACTTGTTCTGTTCTGTTATTGATGCTATAGTTATCTGAAGAACTGTTCATATGTGACGTTAACCGTCTGTTGTTCTCTGTTCTATTGTTATTACTATAATTTTCCTTTCAAGTCGAAATGTCGGCTCCTGGTCTCTGATTTTATAAAATAAATTTCCCCCCAAAAAGTGCGACTTATACTCCGGTGTGACTTAAATATGTTTTTTTCTTCTTCATTACGCATTTTTTGGTGCGACTTCTACTCCGGAGCGACTTATAGTCCGAAAAATACAGTATATTGCTTTGTCTGGAACTCTCCATGGTATTAAATCTCTCTATCTCTGTGGAAGCAAGCAGCTGGAGCCAGTTACAGGTCAGATCTGTGGAGACATGATCCTGCTCTTGCTATTTTTGAGCAATAAAAACTGTGGTAACTGAATAAATTTAAGATAATGCCATACTGTAGAACACTCTCTGCAAAGCAATATCTCCCTGACACAAGCAGGCTGCATACTCTGAAGCAGAAAAGTTACACAGTGAACCTTTAACATAATCCCTTTTGCACATAGTGGTGTATCCATAGTTTTAAATAGGCTCTAGTAGTAGCAGACCGTAGCCCCTCTCTTCCGCTGAATTTAAAGTTGATTTTCCCCGACGTCTGCTTATAAAGAACAGTCCGTCCTGTTGGTTTTGAAAGTGTCAGAGACGTTTCAGCTCTGTTGACCTCTGACCTCTCTGTATCGTTACCTGGCGCCCACTGTCATTACCCATCAGTCACTGCTGCAGCCGCCTGTCCATCACTGTCTTCCCCATTCACTCCCTTTATTTTCACACTTACAGTTCAACAATAGACGGGCTGAATATTTTGGTCTGTGCACACACCGGAGCTTTTAAAGGACAACACAGTTTCCCCTTATTTATTTATTTACACTTACAACTTATTTAATCACTAATGCAGATATTTTTCACTCTCTTTATTAAAGGTACACTGTGTAACTTTCCTTCTGGAGGGTCTGTCACCTGCTTGTTTCTATAGAGATGTCACTACTCTGCCTAGAATGTTCCGCATTACGACATTTAAGAGGTCTGCCTTACATTTATTCAATTATAAGTGGGTTTTATTGCTCAAAAAACAGAAATTCTGACTGTGAGTGAGGTCGCCTCTCCACAGATCTGACCTGTAACATAGTTCAGTTTGATCTCTAGAAAGATAGAAAGGTTTAATAACATACTATACCAAATTATGAATGCAACCATTTGGCAGGAGATTTAAATATTAAATACTACTATCAGAATTTATACTTCCCTCAAACTTTACTCAATTAAGGCTAAAAAACAAAAATATTTCTGTAGCGCTTGCATCAGGGTGACTAGATTTTCAACATTCTAAACTGGGACACACTTGGGTCGGGATGGATAAATAAAATAATGAAAAGAGCGTGTAAGATTGTGCATTCTCGTGTCAGTCATAATCTGAGGGACTTCCGTTGCTTCATTTTTTTTGCTTTATGGTCATTCGCAAACAAAGATTTCTGAATTTCGGCAAAACAAATGACAATTTATGCTTCACTTTACTGTTGGCAGGAATTAAGATTAGTCAAAAATTGAGATAATCCTGTTTTAGTCCTGGTTTAGACCTGGAGTAGTCCTGGTTTAGTCTTAGTTTAGTCCTAGTTTAAATCAAATTGGTAAAAAATTAGAGACGCCTAGGACATTTCTTTTCATTATTATTATTATTTTTTTTATAAATCTGATGGGACAGGGGACACGGGGCTCAAAACTGGGACCGTCCCGGGTAAATAGGGACGTCTGGTCACTGTAGCTAACATCCAACTGATACTTTGCAGTGACTTCATGCTTGGGGTGTTCTACTTGTATCTCTCTGGTGAAATATTCAGAAATTACAGTTACATAACTACCAAATTTTTGTTTTTAGATAATCTGAAAACTCAAGTACAAAACAGATTTATAACACCATATTTAAAGGTCCTATTCAGGTGTTTGAGAGTGACTAACTGAAAAACTGTTGGCTAATACTAACTAGTTTGTGAATGTAACAATATTTGTGAAAAAAAAAAGTTTAACAGTACAAATCAGATCATTTGTAGCTCTGGTTTTCTGGTCAGATTGTGTTCAAATAAAGCTCAGATTAAAGTCTAACAAAGCCTTACATTGTCCTTACTCGACTCACACGTGTCAGTATATAATCTGGGGACTTCTGTTGTTGATTTTTTTTTCTTATTTTCATTTTGAAGCATGTTTTTCTGTATTTTAGCTAAAAGAAAAAGATAATAGACCTTTTTGTGCCCCGCTGTCTGTTTGCTTCATTTTCATATTCTAGATGTAAATAACTGCTGTTTAGTTCAACATAGTAAATACATATGACTCCATTTTGTATATTTGTAATAACGGAAACACAAAATGGAGTTAACAGCACTCACCTTGCCTGCAGCCGCTGTGGGAGAAACACTGATTTTCATGGGCTGGACCTGTGTTTGGACAAAGACTCTCGATCAGAAAAACATACAATCACATCCCAGTCTGTGATTTGTGTCAACACGTCAACAAGACACATGTCACCGTGACAACGACAATCAGCCAGTCAAAATGAACGATAGAGTCTTCATCAAAACACAAAGGCGACAAAGAAAAGGCTTCCACAGGGCCTAAATGATATTAAAATGTTACATATGACAGAAATCCGTGGTCATTTTCAGTATAACAACTAAATTGATAAACGCACAAAGCTAAATAAGGAAATCTATTTTAAAAACGGTCACTGAGTGCGTATACATGCACATCAATAACCCGGTTATGATCGGGTTTTTTGAGTATCCCGGTTTCTTGATGGTGCATGTATACGCAGTAACCCGGTTTCAGTAACCCGGTTATGGCAGTATCCCGGTTATTAGAAACCGGGTTACTGTAGCTGGTTTATTCCGATAGTAACCGGGTTACTTGTGGCATGTAAACGCAGTACCCCGGTTACTGCAACATAAAGTTGAGTGCGCATGCGTCCAAAAGACACTTTCCAGCCTTTCAACACAACAGTAGCGTGACATAAATAAATTGACCAACATAAATAAAGTGACCAAACGAGTGAAATGACGTACAATCTGCACTCGTACGACCTGCACTCGTGTGATCGCTGAAAAGCTAAAACATGAACTATCTCCTATACTCTATACGCACGGAACACACTTACCATTCATTCAGCGCCTCTTCTGTCACAGAAATAACACACATAATCCACAGAGTCGTGTCATTTAGTCCAAAAGAAACTGATCGCATCAGCGGCACAAGGAGCGAGTTGTTTCTTATCGCCGCTAACAGTTTATGCTAATTAGCCAAACGGTCTTAAGTTTCGTTTCTGTAAAACGTAAACAAATGTGATCACAGCTGAATTATCTGATCAAACGGGCTGAATGTAGATCTTATAGTCTTTATGGTTTATATGTTGTAAAGTTGAGTTTATTTATGCAGAAGATTTTAATGAAGAATCTGCACAGTGGATTGTGGGAGATCTCGTAGCTCCTTAGCTTCTTATGCTAAAGGAGCTCACGGTTTGTATTTTTCCTGGTTTATGAAATTGATTTAAGTTAATTTTTGCGCCTGCGCATTTGTAAGATTATGTCAAGAAACCGGGATACTCCATTTGATCATGTATACGCGGATATGAGTATCCCGGTTTTCTCAGTGCGCATGTAAACGCAGTAACCCGAATACTGACATAACCGGGATATGGCTAATAACCGGGTTATTGATGTGCATGTATACGCACTCACTGTTCTGATTCTTACAGTGTTTCTAAGGCTGCGTTTACACTGAAAGAAATCACTGTATCACTGTATTGGAAACAATTTGCGTCCAGACACGTCGTTTTTGTGTCTGCAAGCCTTCACTATTCACACAGCTTTGAGCATATTTGTTTACGTTTTACAGAAATTAAACTTAAAACCGCATGGCTAATTTGCATAAACTAAGCGTCAAAAAACTCGCTATTGTGCGCTGATGTGGTTCAGCTTCTGTCGGACTAAAAGACATGACACAGTGGATTATACATGTGTTCTTTCTGTGACAGAGGGGTGTTCTGCTGATTGTGAGTCAGTTCTGTGCTTCTGTTGCGTTGGAGACGGTTCATGTTAAACTTTTCACAGATTATACGTCTGCAGGTCATACATAGACATATATTCTAGCCTCTTAGTGTTTTGGCGGTGAATTACTTCACGGCGCATAAACCTACATCAGCGTATCAGCATTTTCAGGTGTCCACGCAGTGCCAGATCAGATCTGTACTCAAATGAATTCGTGGGAGCTGACGGCACCAGATCATTCCGTCACTGGAGCTGTTTTCAATCAGATTAGTGTGGACGAACACTGCATCCACAACAAAAACGACTTGAATACGTACTAGAGTGGATGGGGCCTAAATAACATTAGTAGAGGAGTTTTTGCTTACTTAAATGAATGTAAATTTTATTGTTTTGTCAGGAAAGTTCCACAGTATGGTGTTAAACGTATTTATCTCCGCAAAACAGCAACTTGGCCTCATACATACTGGACTCAAGAAGTTGAATGCCATACAGTGGGACGTTCCATTTGAAGGAAGATGTTCTAGAGCGAATAGGCTCTATTCACATTACGTCACAAACCAGAAAGACGTTGGGAAAGATGCGATTACAGTTATAGTTACTACCACTGGGCTCGCCGATCGATAAATGACCCACTGAAGTAAATGTGATCAGCGGTAAAATGAAGACTGCATACGTATGTGGTCTTTGGAATCATCCGGAATTTGGCGCCACATCTCTTCTAATCGCATATGGTAGGGGTGTGCAAAAATATCAAAATACTGATATATCGTATCGTTTAATGTGATGACACAGTATCGATATTGGGGACTGCTGTATCGATATATCACCCTGAGTATTTTTTGGTATATTTTACTAAAATTATTTTGTAACAGCACTACAGTTTTATTGCTTATTTAAGAGGAAGAAAACTAATTTTTGCGACACATTTGACATTTTCATTGTTTTGAAAATGAAAATGTTTGTGTTTCATATTCACTTTACACAACAAGTGATTTAACAAAGACTTTTAGTATCACAGCCATGATTTAGCCTTTATTTTTTTACTGAACCATTTCGAATTGATTTGAAATATATCGTACTGAACTGAAAGTGCACTGTATCGAGTTATGTATCGTATCGGTAACTTTTTAATGATATCCAGCTCTAGCGCTTGGAGTTGTGCGTCAGTGGGGAAATGATGAAAACTGAGGTATGGCTGTAATTGTTGATTAGTCGCTACAATGACATGTAGGTGAAGAAAACTGCATCTGGGAAGTTGTAATCGCATTTTTCCAAACGTCTTCTGGCTTATGGCATGTCTCATCACCGAACAAAACAAAAGTGAGAGAAAACAGAGAGAGAGGAGAGGCTTTCCTGGTGTGTCTCTAGACTTCACCTGGCGCCCCCTGGAGGCTGCTGTAATGTTTGAGCTTCAAGAAAGAGATGAGGTACACTTTTGTCCAGAGGGCTGTTACCCTAACTCTGGATCTGATCACACTTCCTCTTGATCTGCACTGAGACTTTGGTTTGAGCTTTTTCTACAGTATTACTATTGTATTTTACTGCTTTGCTCAATGTGTTTAAATAATTTCTACACGTCCCTCTTTTCGCTGGAGTGACTGACGATTTTGTAAAATGTAAATGATTGAGTGAAACCCACCTGGTCGTCAGGGCTGTTTCTGTCTGAGTCTGAAACAGAAGAAGATTTGATCAGCGGAGAGAAGAGAGAGAAAGAGAAAGAAACACAGAGAGGGAGGCAGAAAGAGAGAGAGTGAAATATTGACACGTATTGATTTTACAGGAAGTTACGCAGGCTACTGTAAGAGCCTCTGGGGTTTAGAGAGGAAATACTGTACATCCAACACACATCCCATACATAAAGTTACTACTAAATGTACCTATGGTGGCCAAACTACTATGTAATTACTACTCCCTCACTCAAATGATACTTTTTTTTGATCCTTTAAGTGTTTAGAAATGGGTCAACATTAGATTTTTAGAGAAATCTGATCATAAAAACATCTTGTGAGTAAATGAATGGACTTTTAGAGTATTTGAAAACAAAGTACAAGGATATTTTCTCTTTTCTGTCTTTGCTTTTTGTAGGTAAATAAGTGTAACTGATCAGAATCATTATTTGAATCATTTATTTTATAATATTTTGGTGTATAAATGTCACTTTTTGCCTCTACTGAACCAAAAAACACTGATTACAGATTAAAAATGTTACTTATATATGTTTATGATAACACTACAAGCATAATGTATAGTTTTTGGACCAAAGTCTCCATTAATTCCATTAAATCTATTAATTAAAGGGATACGGTGCAGTTAATGTAATTATAAGTAGGAAATATTGTGATATAAGAGCAGTACCTGAGCTGTCTCCTGGATAGTCCGCCCCAGACTTCTCCTCCTCTGCTTTGGACATCCTGATATCTGTGGAACATAAGAGAGGAACACTGGTCAGAATACACAAAAAATATATCAACACAATAAAATACAATAAGAAAGAACAAGTCTACACACACTGTCTTTCTTGCAGTACCAGTGATTTATTTAAAAAGTTAATGAAGGCAAGTGGAAGTTTTACCGTCCTAAAGTGGGATGTGCAAAGTTTTCTGTTGTCTTAATACTACAATAAATAGAATTTCATACTTTTAAAAGATGAATTCCTCTTGAACAGAAAGTTTGGTGCAATCGTAAAGACAGTCTGGAGCATTGTGTAACTTTTCTGACGGAGGGTCTGTCGAATGCTTGTCAATGTTATTGCTTTATCTCGAATGTTTCACAGTATGACATTAAGACTTTCTGTCTTCACAGAGACTAAAACAGGCCAAGTTACAGGTCAGATCTGTGGAGAGGCGACCCCGCTCACAGTCAGAATGCTGTTTTTCTAGGTATTTTTGAGCTATAAAACCATCTGTAATTGAATAAATGTAAGGTAGAGCTGTTTAATGTCACACTGTGGAACATTCCAGGCAAAATTTGACATATGTATCAAAAAAACAAGCAGGTGATGGACCCTCTACCGGAAAAGTTACACAGTGCACCTTTAATTATCAATGGACCAGTTTAAATTCACAGTTTAGGAAGAAAACAGAAAATAAAAACTCAAATATCAAAGTTATCCACACATTAATGTATTATTTTGCTTTTTAAATGTGTCTAAAATGTGCCTATTTGTGCGATTGTCTTTCAACATTGTTGCATGTTTTGATGGGTTTACATTTTTAATACTGGTTTTGGTATCAGTGGTCACGTGGGTATAAATTTTAAAAGTGCTATAGACTATATATATAAGTACACAAATGCATGTGTCTGTCTGTACTTATTTAGTTATGTTCCTTGTCAGTGTATGTTTTGTTTTTGTGGTGTCTTAAAACTTTTTAAAAATCAACAAAAAAAAACACTGGAAGAAAAAAACTGAAGCAGTCTCATCAAGCCACGTCTTATTTTGCGTCCTAACTTTGCACCAGAGCCACAAAAACGAACTCCCAGCTCAAAATGGCCGACACAGCTGCGGCCTGGTCTTTTGCCCCTCTTTAGATGTAAAACTGGGGGTCCTGGGACGTGGAGGAGGGATTCTGGGAGCCTTTTCCACATTAGCTGCACAGTTATGGTTCACTTCTGGGACTCGGGAGGTAATTGGTCCGGACTCAACTGCAGACTGGAAGTGCTTACCTGAGCAGCCCACATTACTCACAACAAAAAACACTATGGCAAAGCGCGAAACTTTAGGTTTTTCACTGTTCTGTTTAGAGCTGAGCTTCAAATGGGCCTAAATCAGGACAAAACTTACACATAATGCTGTGAAAAATGTGTTTTAATTTCATGAAGCTACCAAAAAAAATGAAATTGTGATAAGTCATAAGTAACAACAAAAAAAGGTGCACTATGTCACTTTTTTGGTCCACTAGCTTCTTGTCTCCATGAAGATGCTGTTTGCCTAGAACAGACATGTCAAACTGAGGCCCAGGGACCAAATTTGGCCCGCGATATAGTTATATTTGGCCTGCAAGATCATATCAGATATGTATTAGAGCTGCCAGTCAGCTACAGATAGATTATAGAGACATTGTTATTATTTTATATTCTGTTTGTTCTAGATTCAGTGTTTAATTAAAACTATTATTAAACATTTATTTTAATAAGAAGAACATTACATATCTCGAAAGAAGAGAAAACATGCAGATGCTGTTGAAATTTTTCAATAAATATTTAGTTTGGTCCACGACTTAGTCCCAGTTTTTTGGCCCTCTGTGAATTTCAGTTTGACTCCCCTGGCCAAGAATGTTTAACAGTACGGCATTAACCTGTCAATCAGTCAGTCAATCAATCAATCTTTATTTCAGACACCAGTGTGTCCATGTAGAACAACATTACGTAATTGCTTTTCTTGCATTTATTTTATTACAGGTACTTCTTATTGTAACTATACCATTAAAAATATACATTCTTATTTAAATACACATGTAACTGCTGATCTTATGTTCACATAGTTGGTGTAATGTTTAGGTGGTGGGTGTCATAGGGCGGGTGCTCTACACTATTATGCACTTTTAAAATACTATGCCGTTTGTGTGATGCTCTAATGTAATTTAACTTACTACATATGAAAATGACAAAAATGGAATTGAATTGAACTGATTTGGGTCTTCTCTCCACAGATCTAACCTGTAACTTGGCCAGGCGGTGTCTCTATAGTGATAGACACAATTAATGTCGTACTGTGGAACTTTCTAGGCAAAGCAATAACATAGAAGCAGCTGATGGACACTGCACCAGTAAAGATACATGGTGCAAACTGAATCAACCCACTTCAATCAACTTTACTACAAATACTGTGCAGTAAAATTACAAAATTATCAAATCCAAAAGACTTGGAAAATAAATAAATCTCCCTTTTGCAAACGTGCTCAGTTTAAAGACATTTGGAGACGTGGGTTTGTGCTGTTACACGTATCCTCCAGGGGGTGGCAGCAGCTGTCAGTGTAACAGCCGAGGATCAGCGCAGTGTCAGAGCTGAAATATTAAGCACTCAAATCTGAATTGAAACGTCTCAGATTAACTGTATTTTTCTTTATTCAGGGCAGCATTCTTCTGAAACTCTACATTACGTTTTGTTTTGAATACGCCTTTGGTTTTACTGACCTGAATGCCACAAATTCAACACAATCATTCAAACATTTTCTAGTGTCAATGAGCAGAATTTGAGACACAAACACAACACAAAAATCACTTCTGTTGCTTCGGTTTGAATGTAAGGCATTTTGTCTGACCCTAAACCATAACTAACAACTGTAAAAATAATTCCTATCTGTGAAAATCTTCTGCATACAGCTGCAGGAGGCCCAAGTGTCAGATCTCCTCCTCAGCATATGAAAGGACAATCATTTTATCTCCCCTCCTCCTGACTCTACTGCCCCTAACCCCTCTGGCCATCGGGGCGAAAACTCCACCCCCCTCCTCCAAAATATCCACCCAAATAATGCGAGCAAATCAAACGCACCAGATTTTAGACCAATATTTTCTTTTTTCATTCCAAGTTGGACTACAATCTCTTAATATATAACTTTAAAATAAAAAATTAAATACAAAAATGCATCTTTTTATTTAATGCTTCATCATTACACAAATGTAGTATTAGTATTAGTAGTATTAATGCATTAATCCATCACTATGTACTGTGTTGTAAAGCAAATCCAGTTGTGCATACTGGTAGTAGTAGTATTCGTAGTAGTAGAGGTAGTAGTAGAGGTAGTAGTAGTATGGATAGGGTTGTGAATAAGGCAGGGCATCTGATGTAAAACTTTCAAATACAAAACAATGACCCCAAAAAAATTAGTAGTAGTGTAGTAGTAGTAGTAGTAGTATGCATTAATCCATCACTATTTACTATGTGTAAAGCAAATCCAGTTGTGAATAGTGGTAGTAGTAGTAGTAGTAGTACTACTACCACTACTAGTAGTAGTAGCAGTAGTTTTAATAATATTTGGTAGTAGTGGTAGTAGTGGTAGTAGTAGTAGAGTAGAAGTATTAGTAGTAGTATGGATAGGGTTATTACTTAAAAGTTTATCGTTACAAAAAATATTATTAGTAGTATTAATAGTAGAAGTAGTAGTAGTAGTAGTAGTAGTAGTAGTAGCAATAGTAGTAGCATTAATAGTATTAGTAGTAGTAGTAGCAGTAGTAGTAATAGTAGCAGTAGCAGAATTAATGGTAGTAGTAGTAGTAGAAGCAGTAGTAGTATTAATAGTAGTAGTAGTAGTAGTAGTAATAGTATTAATGCATTAATCCATCACTATGTACTATGTAGTATTAATAGTAGTAGTAGTAGTAGTAGAAGCAGTAGTAGCAGTAGTAGTATTAATAGTAGTAGTAGTAGTATTAATAGTAGTCGTAGTATTAATGCATTAATCCATCACTATGTACTATGTGCAAATGGATAGGGTTCTGAATGGTAGTAGTAGTAGTAGTAGTAGTATGTATGTATAGAGTAGCGAATAAGTTAGGGCATCTGATGTAAAAGCTTTTCTATTCTAACTCAAAGATCCTTCCCATTAATTCTATGTTTAACTTACAATTTCTAAACTTTTTCTTACAATACAGTATTTCAAATCTGTAATATTTGCTGTACTGAACAAAGCATGAGCTCAGTTTCTACCCTGTCCTTTTCAGTCTTGGGGCAATTTGACAAACCCGGCCCTGATGATGCCCCCCTCCCCACCTCCCCACCTCCCCTCGGCGTTCTGCCCCTCCTCTCGGCACTAATAGCGAGATGGAGCGCGCCCGGACAGAGGACCACGGGGCAGATGATGCGATGATGTATCTTTCTTTTTGTGGCTTCTTTTTGGGAGTTAAAAATTCGGGAGGGGCAAAATTCGGGAGGGGGGCAGTAGAATGGCTTGAGGCGCTCCTAAACTTGCCCCAGATGCCCCGCCTCGGTCACGCCTGTCAGGGGCTCTTGACAGACGGCGCGTGGGTTTATGAATGTAGCCGGACGGGATGGTTAGGAGCGGAGAGAGGAGAGAGGGGAAGGGGGGAGGGGTATTGTCGGGTACGGGAGGGGCGGGTTCGGCGAGCGGGGGGTATTTTGGCGTGTGGAGGTCAAAGGTCAGGCACACATGGTCCGGGCCCTAACGCTCCCACCTGCCCCCTGCTGTCACATTAATGCACGGGGCAGTTATGTAAAGAGAGGGGCAGTTTTACAGACAAAGAAATTACACAAGTAGCTCACATTTGAAATATATAAAAATGTATGTATGTATTCTGATTTGAAGTAAAAATAAGAGTACTACTACAAAAAATATCACTGCAAAGTACAATTTCTGTGTAATTATTGAGTTTAGATTTTAAAATGTGTCGCCATGAAATGCAATTACACTGCAAAAAACAAAATCTAGTCGAGTTAAGATGACGTGAATTAAGAAAGTTTT